GCATGGATTTTCAGACTTCTCTACTTGAAAATGTACCCCCATCTCACATACTGTGGCCCTGTCCCTAGTCTCGTTTTCAGACACCTCTTCTCGGGAAAAAATTTTTCTTCCATCCCAGTTCTCCTCAGGAATTTAGGAATAATCTGCCCTGACATAGACAGTCCTTGTTCTCCCACCTCCACCTCCATCTTTATTTCTTGCATAGACAAAAGGGTCCAGCGCTCCAGCAACCCTCACCTGCTCCCACGGCTCTGGTTGTACTGCCTCATGGTCCCCACAGTAACCAGGCCCTGCTGCCGTCAATGGAGGAGAGGGGGCGGGAGGCAGTGGTGACGTCAAAGCTGAGGAAGGGGGCGGGGCGAGGAAGCGGGGGAATGTGGGGCAGGGAGGCTGGGGAGGCAGTGGTTTGGATGGCGGCCAGCCCGAGGGCGGCGGCCAACGCACTAAGGAACATCATGTTCTCTTGGATGGTAGCCCAGGACAAGCACAAACCCAGGCGCCTCCCCCAACCCAACGACAGCCGTCCTGTCCCAAAGCCAGAGATTCCTGGAGAGAGAATTAGAAGGAAGGGGTCCCCCTCCCCCGCCCCTATGTTTGGTTCTCTTCTAGACACGCTTCGCCCTCCCCTAGGCTTGTTCCTACAGCTCTTGGCACTGGCTTCCCCCCTCTCCCAAACTGTACACATTTGCCGGCCGAATTCCAAACAGCAAGGGTGGGGAAGCTGGAGGCCCAGGTTTTGTGAGAGAACACGCACCTTTGCTCTTTCAAAGGCCCCCTTCGGAGCCTGAATTTCTCGTTACCATGGCAAAGAGGGAGGAGGGGAAGGGAGGAGAATGGGTCTAGGATGAGGAAACCGAACTGGGACAGCAAGTGGTTCAGCCTAGGGCCTGGCTCCTGGGAGAGGAATAAAAGGATGGAATGAGGGATTTGAGCAGGTGCCTGAAGACCAGAACCAGGAAGAGGAAAATGCAGAGGGAGTCATCAAAACTTGCAGAAAAACTTGCAAATGTGAGAATAATTCCTAAGCAAAAAATTCATATAAATCTCTCACCTCCTCACTGTTGTTTTGTCAGCCTATAGGCATTTTTCAGCTAAATAATTTTAAAAACATGACCCAGGCATTGTGTTTAGCACTTTCATACATACATTATTTTATTTAATTCCCAGAACAGCCCTGTGAGAAGGGTATTACTCTCCCCATTCCACAAGGACTTACTAAGGCTCACGAGTTACTGAAGTTGACTAAATTGCCTCATAATATGTTCTCAGGCTCTTAACAAATAGAGCCCAGAGTTCAAATATGACCTCTGATAATGGCTTGTCGTGCTGGAACTTGTGAAGGGTTACGTAGCACTGGGGAACCTAAACCTCTCAAATGTCCAGGCAATTGAGTTTGGTGTCTGGAACACAGACTCCATCCAACCCCTCCTCTCATTTAGGACATTCAGTGTGCACTCCCTACACATTTCCAGCCATCACAGCCCAGTTTTCACATGCTCACAAAGTCCTTGAGATCATCCTAGCAGCTACCAGCCCCAGTGATGTCCTAGGATCCCCAACTTCATCACTCTTCCACCTTTCCTACAGGCCTAGGTGTTTTTACAGTTACCAGAGTACCCTGTTAGTTCCTCCTCACCTTCAGGGGCTTAGGAAGACATGTGCACAGCCAGTCTGTACAACACCATCCTCCCTTTCAGGATCCAACAGTTGCTACCTCACCTTTACTCCCAAGGATGGCTCCCCTTTACACATAAGACATCCAGAGCTGTAATATGACTGGCTCAGGGTCACACAAATCATCAAAATGTCAAACCTTTTGAATCCTCCTACCTGCCCTACCAGGGCATCCCTGCAGCCTCAGAACCCCTGCCTCTTTTAAGTGCTTAAGGCACATACCCAGACAGCAGTCATGCACTGGAACGTCCCCCACTCTCACAGAAACCCCGACCCTGTACCTCCTTGGGAGCAGGGGTCTCAGCTCCCTCAGGTCGCTGAGAGCTTCTGATTCCCACCTCCCTGGCAGTCAATGGTCCAGGTGCCCTAGGGCAGTGAAGGATCGGATCTCGGGGACACTCCCTAGCCCCCACCCCTGTCCCGCCAGTGCTGAGTCTTGGTCTCTATTCCCCAGAAGGATCAGGGCTCCCACCGCGGCAATCATGCATTCCCAGGATCCCCACGCCCTCCCCCAACCCCTCCCCCCCACACACACACTCCATTAACACCCCAATTGACAGAACACACCACTCCAGAAAAACTCACCACCACTCATCTCCCCCTACCTCTGAGCACTCACCGCTTGTCAAGCACGCAGGTGTCCAACCTCTTCCAACTAGGGCCACAGCGACTGGGACTTGCTCCTTCGGGCCCGCCCACCAGCTGGGATGCCACGCCCCTCAAGCTTATTGGCCTAAGGGTGCGGATCCATGCCCCGCGCCGCGTGCCTTCGCCAGACCTCCCCATAGCCACCATTGGTGCAGCCTGCGGCCCGTCATCATCTCATTAGTCACTTTACCAATCCTCAGTGACAGGTCCACGTGCGGGCGGGCCGCCCACAGTGCGCGTTGATTGACAGAAAGCCGCTCCCCCATCCACTTCCGAAGTTCATATTGGCTGTGGCAATGTCCCCCCACTTGCCTAGAGACGTGACGCGAATGCCGGTCCAGCCCTCCAAACTTTCTCATAGGCTGAGAGGTCTCGGAGCTGTAGCGGACACGTGCAGGCGGTCTCACGCGGCAACTTGTTTACCTAGAAGCTGGGGATTTTCCTTGACGACACTGCACTGAAGGCTGTAGAGTCTGCGCAGGCGCAGGAAGTGTGACCTGTGCGCATGCGCTGATGTGGCTGCAGCGTGCAGCAATGGTTCTGATACAGGCGAGACCCTGGGAGGAATCAGTGTCAGCTTGAAAGCCGCAGCTACTGCACCCTGCCACCGCCGTCCCTAGAGCTGAGACTCCTGCCCTGAGTCCCTGAGGCTCCCAGAAGCTGGAAGGTGCGAATAGGGCGAAGAGCTCTGTCTTCAGATCTCAGTGCCACCATGGGGGTAAAGATGATGACAGCAGGCTCCTAGATTTTCTATGGACTCAGGCGCTTCTCACAAACCCAGAGGAGGCCGGCTTCCTTAGTACCCACTGCCTCACAAATGAGACTGAGATCCAGAAAGGTTACATACCGCTTCTCCTCCTTCTGGCTAAAATCAAGTGTCCTATCTGTTCTTATCAGAAAGGTTACATAATCTGTCCAGATTAACATACTCGTCAATAATGGGGCCAAGATTTGAACCCAGGTCCCTAGCACTATAAAGAAAGCAGGTCCTAGTACCTGTGGAAACCCTAAACCTTGTAAGTATTAAGTAGATTAAATACGAAAAAGTCCTGAGCACTGATGGGAATATTTGTCATAAACCCTTAAAAAATGGTGAACACTGGTAACTGTAATTATAAAAATCATCTCAGCCCCTTAAACTGCTGAATCAGAATCTCCAGGGAAGGTGCCTAAAAATCTATTTTCAAAGAATTCCAGGTAGTTCTGAGGAACTGATAAGCTTGGGAAACCCTATCTAGGCTATACTCATTATTAAAGCACCTGGGGACAATACTAGGGTGCCATATCAGGGGCATCCTGAACTAGTGTCACGAGTCTGATAACAGAGTGCAGGGGTAAGGGCCAATTTGTTTAGTATTAACCCCTTCTGGATGCTGGACTGTGCTAAGCACTAAGGGGAAGAGATGCTTTACCGAAGTTGGCCATTTACTTTAGATAGAGGTGTAAATGGATACAGAAGCGACTGCAGTGTCTGGGCGTTAAATTAAGGGGTAAAAGGGACCCAACAAACAGCAAGAGCATACCCTCAGGCAATGGAGGAGGGAAAGCTGGAAAACCTAGACCTCAGGGTCCACCAGGGTGTGACACAGGAATCATCAACACTTCCCATTAACCACGCTTGAAGTTGCTTGGTGCCCCGCTGTGGCCACTTTGGGAATCACACTTTGCCCTGTCCAAGGTCAGCCCTCCAGGAAAGCTCAGTTCCTTCCCAATGTTACCTTCTCAACCTTCTGGTTAAACCTGCAGATCCAATACCTTTCCCACTAGTTAAGAAAAGATCTCAGAACAGACACCACTTAGTTACTCATTACACATTTATTGTACATTTTCACAATCTGGATGCGCCACAGAATTGGGGGCATGGGGTGAGGGAATGGGGGTGCAGAGGACACTGGGATATTATGGGGGATCTAGAGCACAGCACCCCCACCCCCAGCATCTCTCCCTACCCTTTCACACCACAGCTTAGATCTCCCTGCTCCCCCTTCACACAGAAACCTTGAGTGTGGGGGAAAGAGTTGGGGGGGGTCCCCTCGAGTGACAGTTTAAGGGACTGTACCCTCAGACCCCCCCAAAATTGTGCCATTTAAAAAGACATTAGACCTTTCCTCTATCACTTCACCTAAGGAGAAGACAGGTCTCTCTGGGCTCAACCACCCTGGAAAAGGGCAAGAACCCCCATCTTCCAAAAAGTCCCACACACACATTGGCAGTGACTAGTACCCCCGCCCTGAATTCAGGGTGGGGGCAGTCAGAGGAGCTGGGCAGTGAAGGAGGCAACACCCTCCAAACTGGGGAGGAGGGTTTTCAGTCCAACCCCCAGGAGGGATGGGGCCAGAGGAGACTTCAGGCAGGAACTGGGAAGATTCTCTGCCCTGCTCCACTCCTCTCCAAGGCAGTGATGACCCCTCAGACACTGGCAGCCACCTCTCCCAAAAGAGATCAGATTGTGGCCAACCCCCAACTCTCCTGGTGGGAGGAGGAGGGGGAAGATCAGACAGATGGGAGGGAAGGAGACCCCATGGGAATGTCAGTTGAGCGCCCCACATGAAAACTGGGGATCAGGAATGTGGGGAGAAACTCCATGTGGCAGAATTATTGGTCCATCATAACACACTGAACTCCAAGACACTTACACACCAGCTCCGAGGAGGGAGAGGAGGGGACAAGAGGTTTGGAAAATGGGGTTAGGGGAGGCAAACTGGACTACAGGGGTTAGGAGATGATTCTGGGGGCCAGAACAGCCTGGCTCCCCAAAAGCCCAGGCTCCCCACCACCTACAAGTAATGTCATGCAAATAAAACTGTGATACAGTGACCAATGAGGACTAATTCCTCAGTGGAAAAAAAAACAACCAACCAACCACGGGTTGAAAAAATGAACAGTAGAGTGATGAACAAAAAAGAAGGAAACCAAAAGGGATGTCAGTATGCAAATGAATGTTAATTAACATGCTAGAAGCTCCCAGACCTTGGGATTCTTAGGACCAAGTGGGGCCAGTCTCAGAGCCTCCCAAATAATGCAAAGAAGATGCACCTAGGGAGGCCTGGACAATTACTTTTGTTTTTGTTTTTCGGAAGGGTGGAGGTATGGGTAACAGGCCAGGGTGGGAGGAAGGATCAGCTAAATCCAAGGAAAGGAGAGGAAGAGGGACTATTGCATAGCAGATGCAAATGAAGGGACTTGGGGCTGGTCAGGAAAACAGGGAAAAGGAAAGAAGGAAAGAGAAAGGTGATGGGAACCTCAGGAAGGGGTGTTAAAGGACAACCAGAAAAATCTTCTAGTAATAAAACTACAAACAGACCAAATATATATAATATTATATATGTATAAATAACAGCTGGCTATTTACAGGGGGGCACACACACGGACACACACACGGGTGGGGGGGCTGGAAGATATGGCTGAGAGGTGGGGGAACGGCTGGGGATGGGTGGGGATGAGAGGCCCTTCTCTGGGCAGGCTCCTCAGGGGTTTAAGAGCTGAAGTAAACTAAATAGAGGGAAAGAAAAGGAAGCAGAGGGGAGAAAGAGAGGAAAGAAAGCAGTGTGTCAGGCCTGGCCCTGCTTCCACCCTCTACCCTTCCCAGCTGGCTGATATCCCTTCCCCTCTGGGCCTCAGATTATCCACATGTAAAGCAAAGGGGGCTGGACAGGTGGGTTCTAAGGTCTCTTCAACCCCATGACATAGCCTTGGGGCTAGAGACCCCCATGCCATGGCCTCTGAAACCAGGAGCGCTTAAACAATGGCTTCTGAGTCATGTCTCAATTCCCCTGGGCCTTTCCTGCTCTTCACTCCCCAATTCCAGGGTTCCCAGACTGGGGTCTTAGGCACAACCGGTCCTCAAGGGAGCAGTGGGGATCCACCAGCTTTCCTGTTTCCAAAAATCTTAGAATTGCCCACAACCAGACAAAGTGTAGGCTAAACAACATCAAACTTTTTGGGCTCTAGATGAATCAGAACTGCCATTGGCAGCTTTATATGCTTTTTGCTGAATAGTAAAAACTACATTAATGACCTTCAAAACCCAGAACTCTTAGGGAAAACCTCTCCAAAGAAAAGGGCCCTACCCACTCCTACCATACTCACCAATGATGATGATGAGGATGATGGCGCAAATCACTCCCAAGATGATCATCATCTGGAGGTGAGAGGGGAGAGTCAGTGAGATGGACCATGAAACCCCCATTCACCCACCAGTCCTTCTAACTGGTTCCACCCTTACCTTGAGGTTTTTCCACCAGTATTTGCGCTTGAGCTTGGCTGCACTTGTTTCAAACTGGGAGGCTCCTGCCTGGAGTGCATCCGCACGGTCATCCAGCTCCGACAGCTTCTGGTCCCGCTCCAGAACCTTGTCCACATTCACCCTCATGATGTCCACCACCTGGAGAAGACCACAAGGCAGGGGGTGTGCCAAGGCCCACCTCAATGAGGGCACTCACAGACCACCATGTGCCCACATACATAACATACACCCTGATGTTGCCAGACTAACATGCCAAGAACACACATAAAACATGTCCACACCTGAGCACATGCAAGAAGCACATATGGGGAGCATGCTGATAACCAGACATCTCAGATGTCAAAGCAGCACCCTCTATCGAGTTGCAAGCAGCCTGCCCGTCACCACAGCACATTTGCCCAGACCAAAACACCCAGGCTAGCAAGGCTAACACTCCAGGGACCTTTCAAGTGCATGCTGACAGGAATGGGGCATGGTATCTTTGTTTCAAAACTTATAAACGTGAACTGTCGTTACCCCTAGCCTAAGTGGATCCCCACACTAGTTTGCCAGCCTACAGGGTCCTTCCCACTGCCCTTGGCACACCCTCCCCTCCCCAACTCACCTCATCCACCTGGGCCTGTGTCTGCTGCAGTCTTCTGTTACTGGTGAGGTTTGGAGGGGGCCCAGGGGGACCTCCCTCCCCAGCCGGGGCGGTAGGGGGGGCGGTGGCAGCGGTAGCCGACCTGAGGGGCAGAAATGGAGTAAGACCCAGGGCCTGAATGCTTCGGCCCCGCAGTCAGGGCTCCGCCCATCTGCCTGTCGGTCCACCTGTCCCTCCCTTCTTCCTTCCCGGGAGGAAGGCCACCCGATGAGAGCCCTGGATACCGTCCGGCCCCCCCGCCTAAAAGATGCGTGACCTTGAATGAAGCCCCCTCCCCCATCCAAGCCTCGGTTTCCCCTCCTGTTAAATGAGGACGACCTCAGAGACAAGGTCTGATGTCGACCCGAAATGACAGGGGCGGGGCGAGAGGGCAGACACCGGGTCTGCTCCTTCCCGCAGCCACCGCCCGCGCGCAGTCACGGGCGCTGGTCCGGCCTCCGGGCGTGGGGCGCGCGAGGGGCGCGGGTCGAACCCTGAGCCTGGGCCCCAAGGTGGCAGTCGGCTCAGGCCAGTGCGGGAAAGGCAAGGGCAGCTGACTCACATGGCGGGGGCAACGGGCGCAGGACTTCGCAGCAACAGAGATGTCGGCAGCACCGGCAGCGGCGGCAGCTCGCGCTAGCTCCGACTGGCGCTGGCTGCCGGGGACGGGAAGATGGCGGCCGCACGTCACCCACATCCGGGCACTGCGGGCGGGGGTGGGGCGCCTTGGTGACTGGTCCGGAGCCGGGCCGCGGGGGCGGGGCGCAGCGGGGCCGGGGGCGTGCCTGTCGGGCCGCTGTCTTGGCGCAGCCGGCTCTCCTCACCTCCTGCTGCTAGCGGGCTGCGGCTTCCGCAAGCCCCCCGCCAGCCTGCCTTGTGGGACCAGAGGCCACACAGCCTCTCTCAAGCCTCTAAACCTTTCCGAGCCCCACACAGCCCAAGGTCTTACCTTTTAGCCAGGTCCCAATGCCTGGTGACTCGTCTTCAGCCCTTGGTACGGGCTGGGGGTGGGAAATCAGAAAGGGTAAGTACAGGTCCCAGGGCAATGAGAATAGCTGGGATCCTGGTACTGAGGTGGGGTTGGGAACCACCTGCAAGTGGATGTCCCAAAGGAAGTCTGGGGTCCATGGGCCCTGAGTAGGAGGAGGCTATGAAGGAAAGGACATGAGGGAGGCCCTTCCTCCACATCCTAGCTAAGTCACTGCGGTGTGAAAGTTACCCCTCCACACAACTGGAGTTCAGACCAGGAGTGCTTGGCAGGCTAGGCCCGAGTGAGGTAAGGTTACCTTAAAACCCCAGGTAGGAAGGTATGAGGCCTCGTGGTGGGGCTGGTTCACTTACGTGGTGGCTGTGGACTGGCTAAAGCCTAGCTCTGGCCCAGAGTTGGGTCAGCTACCCTGACCTCAAGGGGCACAGGGCCTGGGCCAAAAGAGACAGCATTTGTTTTGTTTTGTTGTTGTTGTTTTGGTAGAATATAGGCAAAGGGGGCGCCTGTAGTACCCCCTTTGTAGTTACATGGTTACTACTTTACATGCATATTGGCCTCATAGATGTGACCTTGGATAGTTCGAGCCCTCTTTCTGGGCTTAAAATACATTAGCTGTGTAGGCAGAAAATGTATATTTGTTAAATGGCTTGATCTGGAACTTGGTGGAGAGAATTATCCATGGCCTCTTCCATCCCTGACTGATCTCTCTTTAGGTCCTATTAACAGACCCACCAGATGTACATGCCCACCCAGCTCATTCCCAGCAGGCCTGGCACCTCAGCTAAGATAAGTAGGGCCAGATGAACTGCCTATCTGGTGGTGTGGGTGGAGGCAAGTCTCAGGTGACAAAGGAGGCCTCTTAGGGGAGCCCTAGTAGGGGTCCTCACTGTGTCCCTAGATGGGGAGAGGGGATGCTGGTGGTCTTTTGTCTCTGAGACAAACAGGAGCCAGCTTCTTCCCTCTCCCACCCAGACTTCCCAGGCCCTCCAGGTTTGAGAACCTTCCTTATGCAGCACCCCACTCCCTCCCAACAGAAACCTGGGGACTGCTGTGTCACCAGAGGTGTCATTTCCTAGCTGTCTGGGTGAGGTGAGTGAGCAAGGAGCCTAAGTGTTGGGTGTGGGGACTCGGCAGATCTCAGATAAGATGCTCTCAACTCCCTCCTCCTCTGAGGAGCAGCCACTTCCCCAGTCCTTCTGCAGGGACACACAATGTCTGATGGATCAGCCTATGTGAAAAAAAGAAAAGAGCGGCTTCCGGGATGGGATGCTAGCTCTTGTGTTTTGGCCCCAAGACTACTCTACTATCTAACCTGAGAACAGAAGTAGCTAATTCTATGCTTTTTAGTTCAAAGGCCACAGTATCTGAGTCTAAGGGAATGGTGGAAGGAGGTACAAACAGGCAGAGCTCCCCCCACCTAACCCTGCCCCAATACCCTCCCTGCACTAGCTGTGGAGAAACTAGTTGAGGATTTGTCAAGATGTTAGACACTGGTTTAAGAATGATCCCCATTTTCACCCATGGCAGAGTCCAGTACATGGAAGGGAGAGAATGTGAAACAAATTTCCTGAAATGTGTGGCTTGGAAAGCTGGAACATTGCTATTGCTATTGGATCCTGGGCGGGGGGAGCAGCAGCAGCATAGAAGTGAGGGCATGTGTGATCCATGAAGTCAGGAACTGGGAGGATTTATCTCAAGAGAGGACTGTCACTGAGCAGCCCCTCCCCTGCATCCTGTGCTGTGGTGTTAAGGAACTTCCCAAATTTAGATCAATGGTGGAGACAGCAGGGGGAAGGGTGGGATGACGGAGCTTACCTGGAAATGAGTAAGAGAATGTTTTCTTTGAGTAGGTAGAATGGAAACCCAAACAAGGGTGAGCTGAACTAAAGAAAAATAAGATAATTGTATAACTGAGAGCTGGCTTCTACATTTACCTTCTTCAGGGGTTGTTAGCTGAATCTCGGAGCCCACTCCCAAAGCTTATTCAAAGGATGCAGGAGGGGGCCCAAGCACACTTCTAACAAGTACCTCTGGTGATTCCAATGTAGGCACTTTAATAAAGTTTTTCATTCATTATTTTTGCCTCTTCTAACACATTGGCTAAGAAGTTGGGATGAAACGGGGCTTGGTCATTTCCACAGATTCATGGACTTCCTCCATCCACATGAGTCAAACAAGACCAAAGTTGTAATTAATTTCAGAGACCTGTGTGTCCTTCATCGTAGATTATAAATCAAGGCCTCCTAATTAGGAAAAATGAAGCATGCCCTTGGGAGTGCTGTGTGGAATACAGACCCAGGGGTTAGCACCATCACCATCCAATCAGCTGCTTAAAACTTGTGACCTCTGGCTGAGCCAGTCAGGAAGGATCTGGGGCTGCCTGCCAAGAGCCAGGCTCCTGGAGGGAAGAGAAACTGCCAGGGACCTACTGTGTGCCAAGGGCTTTACAATGATTGCCACGTGTGCTCAGGTTTTTAATTACACAAATAGTGTGACTGCATTCTCCTTGCAAAATATTAAAACATTACACATAAAGCTGAAATTCCTTTGATCACCCCCAACTCATTTGTATTTTTGTTTACTTTCTGGAAGGTTTCAATGTAGCCTCCCTTCTTGGAAAAAAAGTTTTGTATATTTATCTATTTTTTTCATTTCCAAAATATAATATCCTCCCTCATCTCTCTGAGAATAATATTTTTTAAATTTAATATTCGATTTTATTTGTATTTTTTAATTTTTCAATTATAGTTAATGTACAGTATTATATTAGTTTCAGGTGTATAACTCAGTAATTAGGCATTTATGTAACTTATGAAGTGATCACCCCAATAAATCTATCATACATCTAATATCACACACAGTTTTTTGTTTTTTGTTTTAAATAGCTATATGGTACTGCTGATAATAAGGTGTGGTAAGTTCATTTTGCTGCTTTTTAAAAAAGATTTTATTTATTTATTTTTAGAGAGGAGAAAAGGGAGGGAGAGAAACATCAATGTGTGGTTGCTTCTCAGACACTCCCAATGTGTGGTTTCCTCTCATATGCCCCCAACTGGGGACCTCGCCGGAAACCCAGGCATGTGCCCTGACTGGGTACCAAACCGGTGACCCCTTGATTTGCAAGCTGGCACTCAATCCATTGAGCCACACCATCCAAGGCCACAGGTTTTTTTTGTGTGTATTTTTTTAAGGTTTTATTTATTTTTAGAGAGAGGAAAAGGGAGAGAGAAAGAGAGGGAGAAAAACATCAATGTGTGAGAGACACATCAACTGGTTGCCTCTTGCACACCCCCAACTGGGCACCCGGCCAGCAACCCAGGCATGTACCCTGACTGGGAATCTAACCAGCAACCTTGCGGTTCACAGGCCAGCACTCAACCCACTGAGCCACACCAGCCAGGGCACCACACACAGATATTACAATATTATTGACTATATTCCCTATGTTGTGCCTTACATTCCTGTGACTCTTGAAACTACCAATTTGTACTTCTTAATCCTTTTACCATTTTCACCCATTCCCCAACCCTCCTCTCACTGGGCAGTTGTCAAAATGTTCTCTGTATCTATGAGTGTGTTTCTGTCCTTGTTTATTTTGTTTTTTAGATTCCACCCATAAGTGGAATCATGTGGCATTTGTCTTTTTCTGTCTGATTTATTTCACTCAGCACAATACTCTTTAGGTCTATCCATGTTGTTGCAATGGCAAGATTTGATTCTTTTTTATGACTAAATCATATCCTGTTGTATATATGCACCATTTGTTTTTTATTCACCCATCTATTGATGGACACTTAGGTTGCTTCCATATCTTAACTATTATAAATAATGCCAAAATGAAAATATGGGTGCATATGTCTTTTTGATTTAGTGCTTTAGGTTTCTTTGAATAAGTTCCATCCAGAAATGGAATTGCTGGGTCCTTTTTTTTCCTTGTCATATAACCTTTGTTTTAAAGTTCTATTTTATCTCTTGTGTTACTGTTTTTATTTTCATGAAGTATCTTTTCCCATCCCTTTACTTTCTGAGAAGTTGGGATGAAAAAGGTCTGGGTCATTCCATCTGAAATAAGTCTCTTATGTAAGGAAGTATATTGTTTATTATCCATTCAGCCACCTTATGCCTTTTGATTGGAACATTTAATTATTTATAGATATTTTTATTGCCTTTTTGTTTACATTTTTTAAATCTTTTCTTTTTCTTAAAGTAGACTCTTTAACATTTCTTGTAATACTTATTTAGTGTTGTTGAACTCCTTTAGCTTTTTCTTATCTGGAAAATTCTTTATTTGTCCTTTGATTATAAATGATAGCTTTGCTGGATAAGAGTACTCTTGGTTGCAGGTCCTTGCTTTTTATTGCTTTGTATATTTCATGCCAATCACTTCTGGCCTGCAAAGTTTCTGTTGAGAAATCAGCTGACAATCTTATGGGAGTTCCCTTGTAGCTAACTGTTTTTCTCTTGCTGCTTTTAAGATTCTCACCTTTAGCATTTCAGTTATGACATGTCTTGGTGTGGGCTTCTTTGGGTTCATCTTGTTTGGGACTCTCTTGTGCTTCCTGGCCTTGTATATCTATTTTCTTCACCAGGTATTATTATTTTTTCAAAAAAAATTTTAATATGACTTCGATGTTATTTTAAAGATTTTTATTTATTTTTAAGACTTTATTTATTTATTTTTAGAGATCAGGGAAGGGAAGGAGAGGGA